ACCTTTTTTTTCTTTTTTCTTTTCTTTTTAATGGCTTTCTCTTCTTCCTCGAATGGTTTATCTGTATCACAATTATTTGTGGGTTCAGCAATAAAGGATGTGAGCCTTTTTGTAGGGAAGCCGCTGAGCAACAGTTTGATTGCACGCATACAGCCGCTCAAACCAAGGCAAGCTTCCGGGTGCATGCAGTCACGTTGAACTTGAACTAAGTTGAAGTCGTTTAGCGTGTCCGCGTGGTCAGGTGGAAGCTACCGTATGACGTTGGTGGAACAGACTGAACCGCACGGCCTTGTTTCCGTGCTGACTGCTGAGTCCGCAGCTTATGGCCGCGCGGTCACACCTTCCTAGCTAGCCACTTCCGCGCGTCCAGACTACATGACTCATTGACTGATTGTACTGACACTACTATAACCTTCTCGTCTTTATAATTATTATAAACTCTAGGAGCACTCACGTCACTCGTTGATTTTCATTTCAGGTAGAAGATGCACTGGACCGTGGCCTTGGGCAGCACGTGCTAAAGTGGTGTGTATCTCGCTCCAACTCCGAACCGCAAACCCTTGAACAAGTTGAAGCTTTCCCCAAACCTATACTTGTAGAGACCAACATAAACAGTACAGGAGTGTTGTTACGTTACTTGGCATACATGTACATACATGTACAATTTCAGCCTCAGCAACTACTACTAGTACTACTACTACTAGCCTACTACTACTACTACTACTACTAGGGCCGCTGAGTAAGGAAGCAGTTGCAGTTCATAACCCAAGTCTAAGAAGGTTCTAGCAGATGGAGGGAGTACTTGGCTTCGCGAGCCGCGATGATGGGCGGAATCAATGGCATTTTTCGCATTACTACTACTACTGTAGTGCAATCATGTACATGACATCATGAACGCGCTTGCATGACTGAATTCTTATGGAATGCGTGCCGTTGCTCAATCATGAAACACGTGACGTTCCCAGCAAACACGCACAGCATTGGCAATCCCCAGCCCACTCGATCGATACTACTAGTACTACTACATGTACTACTACTGTACTAGTTATCATGGGGGTAGTAATAGTACTACTAGTACTACTGACGTACTGTACTAGTAACTAATGTATAATACTTTTTGGACGTGAAAACGGACACATGACGGCAGTCTGCACAAGTCTTATACAGACTAACGTCAGTAATGACATGTGCAGTGAATGTATTACGTAACCACATGTCAACACCATGGCATAGACTATGTCAATTGTCATGTCCAAGGGCAATGTGCCAATGACAGTACAGCCTGCATAGGATTCGCAGAGAAAAAAACTCAGAATGCTAGATCGGTGCTGTAACTGCTTGACTAGTGCCCAGACAACAGTGGGCCGTGGGGGGGGATCTTATAAAGTAAGTTATAGAATACTATAATAGTGCCCGTCATTGGCGTCAAGCTGCCACGTAGACATAGTACTATTAGCATTATTAGTAGAGGAGGGCATGAATAATAAAGGTAATCCCGCCTTCAACAACAACACACCCACACAATGCAGTCATTTTGTTCTTCCACAATCAATGTAAACTTTTTGCAGGCCGATTCAGTATAACAGTGCCACTCCGCACGTTCATCATCACAGCTACATGTATGTACACGTAACAACAGCACACAGCAACTTGTGCTCGACTGTAACACGACACAGCAAACTGTGCACGATGATCGGGTCAACACGCAATCCACATACTGTACCTGGATGCATGCTGGAAACTTTCTGCCACCAGAATACCTGGGCTTGGGACCTGCAGTCATCATGGATCATGGGTCATTCCGAGAAGTACATGATTGTACATATCTACTGGTACATGATCGTGGAGATCTGTTCATCTCTACCATTCTACAGTGTATTATGTTTCCCTCGGACTACCCTACTCAAAGCTATTCAAAGATATGATAATTATATTTTAGATTTTATGAGGTGATGTATAGTGGATATGTTTCCGGATGGGGACTAACCGAGTCCTCGGAAAAACAGACTACATGTACGTCATATATACTGGGAAGCTAGTTACAAAATAGAAACACGATTGAATTTTGGAAACGTGGCCTCCAGACGCACACAACCGTACGTAGATCTACGTAGGCAGACGGTGCAATGACCAACTCGATGTCAAGAAGACGGAAGAGAGGAGGCCCTCGATCGAGGGTCACGTCAGTGGACCGGTGGCACCATGCGCATATGCCAGCCATAGCATGGCCATGCATGCCAAGTGCGCTAGGCCTAGCGCACCTAGCTAGCTACCAAGTCAGGGAAGCGGTGCGCGGTCGCTGTTTCCACGTGGAGCAACACGACGTCATCGTTTCAGCCCACGTGCAAAACAATAGAAGATTCTAGGCGGAATACAGTCACGCGGAGACCCAGGCGAAGGTCACACGATTTACCGCAGCGTTACAGAGTACAGTAGGCACGGAGTTCTAGGGGAAGATTTATAACGACATGGCTGGCAGCAAAATGAATCAGTTTAGCATTTCTCGTGTCGTTGCCGGTTGTGCAGCGAGCTGTCCTTGCACGCCTGCGGCCTAGATGTGATCCACTCGGTCTCGCGTTGTCCCCATTCAGCCTAGGTTTCCCAACGCTTTGCGCTTTGCAAGTACCTACGCCAAGACGATTTCCAAGATGGCATTTTGGAAGAAACTTATGTCGAAGGCCAAGAGCAATGGCACGATAGGAGGCATGGAGTTGCACAAACATAACTACAGGAAAGACTTTCTAGTGAAGAAGAACAGCGTACTGGGCGAAGGAATGTCGGGAAAAGTCAGAGAATGCGTTTCTGTGCTGACATCGGAAAAATTTGCTGTGAAGATTATGGCGGATACTCCGGAGTCCAGGGCCGAAATCGAACTGCAACTACTGAGTGCTCACCCACTGGTGGCGAAAATTCACAGTGTCTATGCCAATGTGATCGAGAAGAGACCGAAGCTGGTAGTGATCATGGAGTGTATCGAAGGCGGCGACCTGTTCGATCGAATTCTGCGCAGAAAGAAGCAACCGTTGACGGAGAAGCGAGTGATCGAGCTAACAAGAGATATTCTGACAGCTGTTGCACACTTGCATTCGCTCAATATTGCACATCGCGATGTAAAACCAGAGAATATCATATTGACGGACAAAACCGACGAGGCCAAGATCAAGCTCATTGATTTCGGTTTTGCCAAGACCTGCGTGGGCTCTCAGTCTCTGGAGACACCGTGCTACACACCGTACTACGCAGCGCCGGAGATCTTTGGCACGAACGGCTATGACAAGTCCTGCGATGCCTGGTCTATTGGCGTGGTGGTTTACATTATGATGAGTGGCTACCCACCGTTCAGTGCATCCAAGAGAGAGAAGCGCCATGGTCTGACTCGCGGTATGCGTACGCGTATACAGGAAGCCGATTATGAGTTCCCAGACAAAGAGTGGAAGCACGTCTCGAGCGAGTGCCAGAATTTCATCCGTGCATTGCTGACCAGCGACACAGAGCGGCGTATGACTGTTACCGATGCTTTGCAGCACAAGTGGCTAAGTCAGAACCCAACGATTGATGAGGTGTGTTCTCAGCCAGCAGCGATGCACGCGACTGCTCAGCCATTGCACTCAGTAATACTGGAGGATTGCGAGTCTACTGGCAGTGCAAGCGACAGTGAAGCTGCTACAGTCAAGTCCACTAGCTCCATCAGGTCTGCAGACTCTGCCATTGATACAGGCACCGAGATCAAACCGATGGCGGTAATCCTGACCAAGAACCCTATGCTTGCGCGGAGAAAGGCTAAACGTGATAGCGTGCGCTCAATTGTGAGACAAACTGATGGAGAATCTAGCGACACCCAGTCAAGCCATGACAACCAGCCGTCACCAACTTTGAAGGTGATGACACGCCCATGCTCTTCGGTAGCGTCAGATGAAGGTATTGCTTCGTCATCATCCGTGGAACTGGATGACGATACTGTACCATCGCCTGGCAGTATTGACAGGGAGCTGTCCGAAAACGCCATCGAACGTCACACCGATGGTCAACTGTCGTCAGATTTGAAGATTGCGCCATTGCGACTGACCTCGCCTAAATCATTCGCGAAGCACACCGCTAGCATGGAGGATGCAGCTTATGACTCTGGCCTATCAAGCACGTACCGCACATCATTGGAATATGACACCAGATCAGCGTTCTTTCTGTAATCATCAACTCTGGCCAAACGAAGCTTCATGGAATCGAACGTGCTAACTCTGAACTATTTGAATTATACACTCCAGTTTATTTAATCACCCCTTTTCAGCTTTCAAATTGTGTGCTTATTTCTAGTGGCTTGTTGTCCATTTTGTCAAACTTAGTATAAAAAATATTCCGTTTACTGGCCAATACTATTTTATTAATTATCCGAATCCAACACAGCGTTGGCAACTGAGACTTGACTCCAGTATTCTATGTTCCATTTTCACATCCCAAACCTTTGCCACTGCTGTAATGATCCTCCACCATTAATTTATTCTATTATATTTGTGGACATTCAATTTTTTTAAAGTTCCAAAGCCAATGCCATGTTTGAAGGTACTTTATGAATAACAATACTACTTATGAAATGTAAAGCCTAGGAAACCTATTGAAGCGTTTGTCTTGGTGCCTGGTCTGCATGAGTCTGCATGATGGGCACTCCTTTTTAACTCACTCCATCTGATTGTGTGCTTGAAAGGATAAGTTGAGTGGACTCTCCAGAAAAGTAAGAAAATGGGGACAGCCTAGGCTAAGCACAGTTCATGGGGGGTGGGGTGAGAAACATGACATTGTAGTAGTACATGTACATGATTGTGCAGATGGGTTCAATCCATGGCCATTGGCACTTCTTGGGCGGCCACTTCTGCGGTGCAGTTGAATACAATATTGTCAATAAGGAACTCAGTCGCAACAGAAATGCACTTAGCTTTAGACTGCATGGGTCACCAGCTAGCTGTCTGTTGTACAGGACGTATACTGGTATCGGCCTGCGTGGTTGCCGCAATACATCATAGTAAAATGAAGGCAACGACTATGCATCAGTGCTAGTAGTAGTCTAGTACCACAGTCCAGCACATTCCCTAACACAACAATACATGAAGTAAACACGGCCTAGGGTCTATTTGACTCGAGGACACCTGCCATTATTACCACTTCAGTAGGTTGCTGGGGCTGCCCCACTTGATCTGAAGTGAGTGAAGGCCGTGCAGCATTCTTTCAGACACCACCGTACGGCTACATGTATGTACATGCACAGACAGTCATGTTTATGTACATGTCTGTGTAGCTGGAATGCCGAAATCTGAAGCCTTCTTTTTCAGGTTGGCTTTCCGCCGGATAAAATACTAGTAGAGGATTTGGTGGCACTGCAAATACAACCCAGTCCCTGTTACCCTAGCCCCCTCAGCCTGGCCAGAGCTCACACATGTAAACCACACATGTACACGTTCCGTCGGCATAGGTAATTCCACCACACTAGTGCATGTACCACAATGTATACATGTACGCATGCACAGTGGTTGCACACACATGCAAACACGCACACAGTGTTTCTGCTACTACTTGACGTATTTTCCCTTGTCCCTCTTCACTTCCCTTTCGTCTCATCCACCCTTCCAGGAAACCCCCCCCCCCCGATAAGTATCCATTTACTTTTGGAGAACCCTTCAAATAAAGTCTAAATAGAATAGAATAGAAACACACACACACACACACGCACACACACACACGACACACATGACACACACACACACACACACATGACACACACACACACACACACACACACACACACACACACATGACACACACACACACACACACACACACACACACACACACACACACACACACACACACACACACACACACACACAATGATACTCAAGGTTACAGAACCAATATGCATGCAGTAGTCGGAAATTATGAAATAAATTATCCATGGAGTACAAATACTTTGATACGGAACATACCACGGCATATGTATGCCAGTCGGGCACCAATACCAATACCAGTAAATAGCAAAGCAAGGATTCAAACAATACCAGTAAATAGTAAAGCAAGGATTTACACTTCCTTGCACAGCTCAACGTACACTGAAGCCTGTTCGAATCATAACATTTACGTAAAGAAAATGAAGGACTTGATGGAAAATGATACTAACAGTGAACGTTTAGTAAAACCTATTTCAATTGTTTGATACCTTTTTGATGGTTTTCAAACAGTGTAATTTTCACCAAACAAACAACCAGGCCTGCTATGAATAATCATCAAATACTGCCCTAGACATGATCCATTTCTATTGATTCAACTTAACCAAATGTCCGACATCAAACAAATGATACCCTGGAACTACTTTCGCCTGCGCCTTGTTGAACGGACGGTGGATATTCCGCCTGTGGAGCCGGACCCAAAGACTTTTCGCCGCCTTCTTCACCGGTCACCGGGGCTTCTTGACGAGCCGTGGGAGCTTCTTGACCAGTCACCGGGGCTTCTTGTTGTGTGGAAGTAGACTTCCGCCGCCGTGCATGTAGGGCAGTTGATAGTTTTGATCGAATAGATTGGGGAGCAGAAGCTGGCTGCTGTCTCTGAGCTGAGGAAGATCTTTTGCGTTTTCGTGGCTGGTCACTGGCTTGCTCAAACCCAGTCCCCGCAGTGCCAGCTGTTGCTGATGCACTAGTACCACGAGCATAGATATTGAGTGAAGTTGAGAGTTGGTCCAAACCTTCGACATCCTCTGCTAGAGCTGGCAGAGGTCCTTCAGCCGACGCTACTACTTGTGCTAGAGTTGCTGCTGCTGCTGTTTCTGAAGAGCCTGCGGGGACCTTTGCCGCTGCCTGAGCAGCTCCAGCAGGAGCATCCTCTTCATCATCACTATCCAAAGAATATTGTGCGGGGACACTTGAAGACTTAAGCTGTGGATTCTCCAACACATATGCGGCCGCTATCAATTCTTTAGGTCCAAGATAGACAGTCGTCGAATCCCTCTCCTCTGCTACCTGCTTAGGCTGGCTGGGACTGAGCTGTCTGTCAACAGCTCGATTGCTCGATGCAATAGTGGATGTCCTGCGGGTAGCTAGGCTCACCGCGGGCTCGTCATCTGCTTGATCTGCTTGACCGCTGCTACTATTCCTCCTCCAAGGTATTAGATTCATTAAACTCATAGACTTGCGTCTTCCTGACCCGCGTTGCTTGCCATGGTATTTCAAGCGGCTTGATTCCAGGCCAGCACGATCTTGCCATTGCTCTTGCTCCTCTTGCTGGGTAATATTAGCTTCAGATTTTGCTTGGCTTCTAGTCGCCATTAAGCTAGCGTTGCTAGTGTCCAGTATGGAAGCTTCATCCTGCAGATCACCATGGCTTTGAGCGGCCCCGCTGGCTGATGCCAGGCCGGGAAAGTCCAATGGTATGTCCAATCCCGGCATTTCCTGGTAGTCCAACATTTTCAGGGAATTGCGCCGTACCGGGCGGCTCGGATCCAGCTTGAAGCCACGCCCAATTTCATCTTTCAGGTTGTTCAAGCGTATGTACGTATCATCCATTGATGTTGATAGCATCCTTCCCGCGTGCTTTGCGTGTTCTTCTGCAATCTTCCTACGCCGTGTATTCTCCTGCAACAAAAAGGCACACGGTGTTACTCTGCATACACATACATCAGTCTCAACATCTCAACATCTAAACATCTCAACATCTCAACATCTCAACATCTCAACATCTCAACATCTCAACATCTCAACATCTCAACATCTCAACATCTCAACATCTCAACATCGCAACATCTCAACATCTCAACATCTCAACATCGCAACATCTCAACATCTCAACATCGCAACATCTCAACATCTCAACATCGCAACATGAAGTGGCATGCAACAGGGTCAATAATATAACAGCAATTCTCTAGTTACGTCGGCATCGTTTCTTTTATCCATAGCTTTGTTGGAATTCCCTAGTACCGGTGACTATCGAGCCCAATTTATTTCATTTTGTTGGACCATTTTTCGATGCAGTACTACCGTAAAGTCGCGGATAAAAGCCGGGCTTATAAGCACATAAGCCGCTTTCTGCATCAGGCTTTAATGCAAACCAGGCTTGTATGCAAACCATGCTTATATGCATCAATGACATATTTGCCAGGCTTGTATGCACATAGAAGCCAGGCTTCTGCGCGCGACACGCGTAGATCTACCACTGACTACCGGTATGGCGGCAGTTTTACTATGCACCGTACATAGCGCATGCACTCTTGACCTACCCGATCCGCGCTTGCATAGAAGCCAGGCTTCTACGCGCGACAGGCTTATATGCATTTGACCCGTTTGATTTTCAGGCTTCTATCCGCGATGTGCTTGTATGCAAACCCGGCTTTTATCCGCGACTTTACGGTACTTGTACATTGTTGGGGTTGTGTGGCTATTACCATTGTATAGGACTATGTACCCATACTACATGTAACTGAGTATTATGTGCAGGTACACATACCGTATGATGTAGGGGCACAGTGCCGCCCATTCCTGGTTTCCCCACCCGGAAAAAGTGCCACCCCTCCCTACTCACTTTCGATCTTTTTAAATGTTTTTTTTCCCAATTTACACAACGGAAATGTAAAGTCTTGGTTGCGCGCTGTGCTGCATGTAAATCGACAGCATGCACGTTAGTAATCAGTGAAGTCGTATGCAGTGCATGTTAGTAATCAGTGAAGTCGTATGCAGTGCACGTTAGTAATCAGTGAAGTCGTATGCAGTGCATGTTAGTAATCTGTGAAGTCGTATGCAGTGCACGTTAGTAATCTGTGAAGTCGTATGCAGTGCACGTTAGTAATCAGTGAAGTCGTATGCAGTGCATGTTAGTAATCTGTGAAGTCGTATGCAGTGCACATTAGTAATCTGTGAAGTCGTATGCATGCAGTGCACGTTAGTAATCAGTGAAGTCGTATGCAGTGCACGTTAGTAATCAGTGAAGTCGTATGCAGTGCATGTTAGTAATCTGTGAAGTCGTATGCAGTGCATGTTAGTAATCTGTGAAGTTGTATGCAGTGCACGTTAGTAATCAGTGAAGGCGTATGCAGTCTAGTAGTAGCAGACACTTCCACATTTCACTACAACACAGGCTTCACTACCGTTTCAAATCTCTTGCTGGTCACGGCAGATGTAGTCCAGTGCACACTAGTTACTCCTACTGCTCTGCCACCGTTCATGTTTACGATCCTGCTTGTGTTCATGTTTAGGATCCTGCTTGTGTTCATGCATACCAAGAATCTTGCTCCTTCCAATCCTCAGCCCCAGCACATTGATGCGGGCACCTGTGCTTCGAAGTCCCGGCTTATCCTGTTCGCTTCTCAAGTTGATACGCTGGTAACTCTCTTTGGCTTCATTATTTGCCAATGATTCACACACCCGCACATAATATGCATGCACAGAATCTCATTCACCACTAGACCGTGTCACACATCCAATCCACTTCCCACATTTAGCCAACTCAATGGATCCCCTTCCCATACACAATAGTTCACAGGGAATAGAAGGCACCCCCATGGAATAGTGCCTTACAATCTAAAAAAACAGCACTTCAGTGGCACCTATTCCCCCAAACTGCACAAAAAGCAAAATTTCAACAAAATCCATGTGGTTCAACCAGGTCTACTCGCAATGGGCCAAACCCCTTGTCATAATGTGACCGATAGCATGGCTGAATCCACCTACACATGCCAGAGTGCACTTCGGATGTTAACAATCACCACATGCCTACAGTATAGTCCACTTACACATGCCAGAGCGCACTCCGAATGTTAACAATCACCACATGCCTACATGTCCACCTACACATGCCAGAGTGCACTCCGGGTGTAAACCACCACATGGCTACAGTATAGTACACCGGTATCAGCAGGAAGTTATCACTTTACCTCGTGGGCATCTTCAAAGCGCTTTACAAACTTAGCTAGGAGATCTATGGTTGCTTCCAGTTGAAAGTTTTCTGTTGGCTCGCCTAGGTATGTAGCCAGACCAAGACCGAGGTAACGAATACGATCCAGTTGATCTCGTATGGTGGGAATGGTAATTATGATGTCCTGCAAGCACACAAAGACAGTGGAAAACGGAGAAACGCTTTATAGAATAAAAAAACCCGTAGGAGTAGTGGCTTTGCTGCTTGCGCTATGCAGAGCTCACGGACTTGTCAGTTTGAGCACCGTCTAGCAAGGTGCGTTCGGGCCTAGCCAAATTTAAGTCCGGCTTGGGAAATTTTATTTTTCATTGCTATCAGGTTCGACCTCATTTTCTCCGTGCTGCACTGATGAGTCCACAAAGGACGAAACAGTTCTGACCGCAGATTGAGTATACCTAGTACATGTCATGTATTTTTAGGATTATTAAAGTCCAGTATTCGACTGTTGCAATGGAGGCCAGGCCAAAGGTAGTGATTGGCCGTGTTATAACTGCAGGTACTCCGGGTGTGCATGGCGTGTGTCTGGATGGTAAAGATATTAACTGAGGAATTACACCCGCCGCAGCACTGGCATCCTGGCATTAGACCAGGGTAAGACTGAGATGGACGGTATTCGCACTAAACACAGTTACACTCCGCTGTAAAAACCTTATATATAACAGAGCGCTAAATCTAACGATTTGTCGTTATAATAGAAGATGTTACACGAAATCTATACATAATACTGTTGCCAGTGAGCGTTGAGAATGAGTGAAAATCGTTACCGTTGGTACACGTTAGCCGGTCAATTTTAGGAAATCGTTATATTTGTGGCTCGTTAGAATAATGGCTTTTACAGTAATTCACCTGGCATAGTATGGTCATGGTGTATCCATCACCTGGCACAGTATGGTCATGGTGTACCCATCACCTGGCACAGTATGGTCATGGTGTATCCATCACCTGGCACAGTATGGTCATGGTGTATCCATCACCTGGCATAGTATGGTCATGGTGTATCCATCAGTACAATGTTCTCTTTATCCTGTGCACTGCGCACATTAGTAAATCCCACGCGGTGAGAAAGGAAACAATTCAGAGCACCATGCTACTCTGAAGAGTACACACCCTATCGACATGTCGCAAGCCGGTGTTCTAGAAATGTTATCGATATTCTGCTGAATGCAATGTTGCGGGGCCGGTGCCACTGGTGTGGCGGGTACGGCCATGGCCGTATCAGTTTTTACCAATTCCAGCGTTCATAGAATGTCCAGCGTGAAAATGATTTACTATAAATATACAAATTTTTGGCAGCTATTTAATTTCGCCTATATTCGGCACCGACCCAAAGCGCCTAAATTAAAACGCTGATGAAATTTTTTCACAGCATCTGTCGCACTATACCATGCCCTCTACCCCACGCCGAAATGTCAAAAATCGTGAAGTGCCGAAATTTTGCAGCGTCGAAATTTTGTATATTTACAGTATGTGGAAGTGCTAGTAGGCTATTTTTGTACGCCCTCGCTAGAGTCTCTCCCTCCTAAATAGGTCATCTTGTCCAGTGAAGATTACTGTGCTAGCTGTATATTTGCTGCTAGCGGAATGCGTAGCTGAAACAACTAGATATGATGCAGCACGCACCCTCCCAGGGCACTGAAATTAGGTATGGGGAAATGATCTGCCCTGTAGCCGACCTGGGGCCGTATCACCCCTCATGAGCTGGCCCCAGGCCTGATAGAGCTAGAGGTCCATCCGCCCATTAGACTGAACTGGCCATAGGGTAATGGTCGGCCCTGTAGCTGACCTGGGGTCGTACCACCCCTCAGGAGCTGGCTCCCGGCCTGCTGTTGCACTACAAATATACAGACTTGCACGGCAATGAATAGCAAAGGACTTCCCATTCACCCCATTCACCGCGCTTACCCGTAAGCGAGTAGTGGTTCGTCGTTTTGACCTTTTATCTGCCGTCTCCATTGCCTTGCTAATGGTGGCAAGCTCTGCTTCAGAGGAATCAATGCTGGTCTCAATGTGACTCAGGGAAACCCTGTGCATTGACATGTATTAGCATAGAAACACACACACACACACACACACACACACACACACACACACACACACACACACACACACACACACACACACACACACACATACACACATATACACACATATATACACACACAGGCACAGACAGGCACACACCGGCACAGACAGGCACAGACAGCCCCATGCACACATACACACATTCAGCAAAGTTGTTCTGGTTAGGGACCGACACGTATACTGGTAAGTACCGATGTATTTTAAAACAAAAATCATCGTTTTTCCTCATATCGCCAATCCCATTTCTAGCTACAAGGACTACTGTATACCGGTGAGTAATTTTCGTTTGGAATTAACTTTCACTATAATTATTCGTTAGGGGGCAAACTAAAGTTTTTTTCTGAACGTTCGGGATGACAGACCTCGACCAAAAACGAAATTTAGTACGTAACACGCCTGCTAGTGGAGTAATCTAACGAAATATTTCGTGAACAAAATTTTGTACTTCTACACTACTTATACAGTAGTCAAGCCGAGCAGTTCCGGTACCACAATGTCATTATATTGACATGGACACAACAAAGGGCACACCGGTTTACCTGAGACTGAGATTTAGGCATGGGGCGTTGGAGCTGGCCCAAACGACCCGGGTTAAGCAGGACCAATATCATTTTTCATGTGATCCTGGCGTTTGTCTCGAGTTTGCCACGTGATGCGGGGTCTCTTGGGATTATGTATTCTTGGTAACACCCACATGTTGAAGAGTTTCCATAGGGACTTTTAGCATAGCGCATCTGCGAATTCCGACTTTTGGTTCGGCATTGTGAAAAGTGAGTGGATTAGAACAACCATACCCTCCCAGCAAGAGCACATAACCCCCTTGTGTTCTTTAATTTCGTGACTGAACGTTGTTTAAGTTCAACGTGGAGTCGGTTTGTTTCATCCTGCTTTCCCATTTCCCTGCATGGCGTCATGCAATCATGATAAATTAAAATTCCGAGCTCCAACAGTGTTGGATTATTCGTGCCAGGGTTTTATTCTGCGAACTGATCATTCGGTCAAAGAGATAGTTGCGAAATGTCTCTCGGCGTGGAAAGCTCTCTGTGAATGTGATTTCTGTGAATTGTCTTTTCGGTGAGGCATGCTTTTCGGTGAAATGTCGTACTGTGAAACGTCGTTAGAGGCAGAGTAGAGGTGAACTCTCATTCTATGAACTGGTTTTTGGCAATCCGTAGTAGACCCGCCTGTCGACGAAATGATGTTATTCCAAAATGTATTCAGAGCTGCTCTAGGGCGACGCGTCTGTTTGGAGCCGCTGTGTCCAAACAGGAGACCAGATTTTAGCAAATAGTGCCGAATCACGTTATCAAGGACAAGTTTACCTGCATCCAACGCCTTGAAGACCGACAATCATCTCTGCAATGGGAAGTCCGCAGAAGGATGTTGCCTGGCCGAGCGGCATGGACAACAGGCCATTGTAGCCGAATGAGCGAGTGTGTCCGGGAGGATGAGACGGGACAATTGAGAAAGAAGGGAGTATTTGAAGAGGAGCAAGGAAGCGTTGGTAGTGCAGACCCCAGCCGTAGATGCCCAGAAGCGGAGACAATGAGTTGCTGTTGAGGAATCAGTGGAGAATGAAGTTCCGGAAGTAGCAAGGAGGGTGATGGAGCTCGGTCCGAAGTTTATTCCGGCCAGACGAGTGACGAAATCAACAGTTCAGCAGACGGAAGTGGGTGTAGAGAGACTGGCATTCGGTCTTAGGTGGAAAGAAGTTTTAGTTTTTCTGTTTCACCCTGAATATGGGCCATGCCCGAAAATTTGGTGAACATTTAAAATGATGTGTGCAGCAAAGAGACCGTATTTGGAGTGTTAGAATTGAGCTATCCTTGGTATATTTCTTGATGAACACTTGTCCTGGGATTCGCACGTAACCTATATTGAAAAGCGAGTTTGCTCTGCGATAGGCTGCATTTCTCCTCACATCTCCCATCTACATCATGGTTGTCGAATACAAATTTATCACTCTTATGTTCTTCCTTTGTTTGATTACTGCTCTCTCATTTGGTCCTCCGGTCTATCCTCCGCTCGTATGCATCGGTTTAATAGAAGTCACCCACCGTAAATTACTTCGATTAATATTTCGCATGCCCCCTCTGCCCTCCTCTCAGACGCTATACATTTTGGCTTCCTCTTCCCCTCTCTCAGAACGCTTTCCCCACTCGGCATGCAAATTCATTCACAGTATTAGGCTTCAACTTGCTCCTCCTCATGCACTTGCGCATTTAAGCTGGTTCAATAATAGCCCGCGTACTACATGTTCACTCCATTTCCCACTTGCCAGATCATCGATCCTTTTAAAATCCCCTCTGTTCAAGTCCTATTCTCATTGGTCTCGGCTTCCGCAGGAGGTAAAGTCTCGTGACACCTTCGCTGCATTTTGTTCCATTCTGCCCGCGCCTAAGTTGAATTGAATTGAATTCGTTGTTTTTCATTGCTAGCCTAATCTTCATACTGCTCTCTCCAGGTTCCTTTAGTACTCCTTTGTATTGTTTTCTTTTCTCTTTTTTTCTCCTTCTTTTTCTCAGTTTTCCCCACCATGGCTGGTTAAAATCGCCCGCATCACATGCTTATTGGCACTATGTCATCGTGATTGTGGAATAATAATAATAATAATAATAATAATAATAATAATAATAATAATAATAATCCTACAGAGTGCATTGCATCACAAAAAAGATGTCAAGAGACAGCACCCATAGTCGAGTTGCACACTCTTTGGGGGGTTATGTACTCTTGCTACCATCCAGTCACAATAATAATAAACACACATACACATATTATTGGTATGCATATCCTGATGCATGTCCTGATGTCATCCCAGTAAGGAATAGGGAGAGGCAAGAAGCACTGCACACATGCTGACTCACTTGGACGCCTTCTTGAGAATGGACAGCAGTTCAATAGGCAGTGAAAGAAGGTCACTATGGTGCTCTTCGATAGCCTGAAGGAATACAATCAAGGCCAAGCAAAATACAGTCATTCAAGATAATCCCATGTCTTTTAAAGGGGCAGGTTCACCCTAAAATGAAAACTTCGCAACTTGTAGCGGAATAAATGCAGTGATTCCGATGGTGAAGTTCCCAGGTTGATCGGAGCAGCCGTTCCCGAGTTATACATGTACCAGCTTGAAGTTTTCACCAAATTTGGTGATACCATGACGACGTCATTAACTTACCCAGACTAGGCTGGGTTTATGATGTCATAGAGATAGACTTTGTATAGCAATAGACAGGGGAAAAACCAATTTCTTGTTTCTGTACAACAGCGAACTTCCTGCCAGAGTGTTTTACCAGTCGGGATACCGGTAGGATGCCATCATATGTCCCATACCGAAGATTGAAAACATCCGATTAGCTGGTATAACTCAGGAATGGCTGCTCCGATCAACCTGGGACCTTCACCAGTGGACTCAGTGCATTTTTCGCTAGGAGTTGTGAAGTTGTCATTTTAGGGTGAACTTACCCCTTTAAGTACAAAGAGGAACACGTACATGTCAATAAACTTATACCCGAGACAAGTAGAGAAATGACAGCATGTCAGTCGCAACCTTTCCACTCCTTGAATGTGCGCACACATCTGCTTGTGGCATGCGCATGCCTAATCCTGAACCAAAAGAAATTTGAAATTTTCTAAAAATTGCTGGGGTTGGCCCCAAATGTGGGTAAGTGCTGCAACCTTCAGTGAAGGCTTAATACCAGTACAGCACAGAACCGCACGGCACGGCACGGCACGGCAACGCACAGCACAGCACGGCACGGCACCGCACAGCACAGCATAAACATTAGAGCACTAAGAACATTCCCTACACTAACTACAGGCAGAGTATGGCGGGTACAATAAAATTATGACACTTGATAATAATAAAATTATGACACTTGATAATAATAAAATTATGACACTTGATAATAATAAAATTATGACACTTGAAACACAGAGGGTGACACTTGAAACACAACACATGGCATCATGCACAGATCTAGCAAATGGCCACAGAAAAAAACCCAACAACACTCTACTGGCCAGGGAACTTTCAAGAACTGGTACTAGAGTTCAGCACCGCTGGGAAGCAGTATTTGATTGGTCCGTGGTCATACCACAACCTCTTATACTTGTTTAGGATGTGCTGGGTACATGTGACCTCATCAACTTCATCAGCAGTCTAACATGCATCAATTGCCAAAACGTTCGATAGGAAATGACCTCGACAACCGGGCCGGTGCCTGGATTTCATTCCTTTGAGAAATACGCCAAAGGCTGGAGCAGCACTGACCATGGATTTTATTACGGTATGTTGCAGTTGCACATGCCACTGATATGTTGCAGTTGCACATGCCACTTACGATCAACAAGTAGTTCATCAGTGTTGTCCTATCCGTGTTTCCCGTCCGCGTGTCATCCATCTTCAGGAGTGAAGCTAACCGAAATCCGGAAGCACCCCCTGAAAATCCACGCTGATATTGCGTACACAACATTATGATAGTACAGAAACACAGAAGTTAGAATGCCTCTTTAATAGCAGCACCAGAACCATTACAACACGGGACTAGCAGGCGATGTGGGCTTGCATAACAGTTCGCTGGTCAAGTGGTTTTGTCATGCCCCATGGAAAGGCGATTGCATCCTACACACTGCACGTCTCTAGTGTATACAACTGCTCTTACGTTTGGCCAACAACAGAGTACACGATTCCAGTGTGGATGTTTATTTAAAAGGAAAATGTAATTCATCGTCTAGACAAGCTCAAGGTGGCATTTGCTTGCTCGTACATGTACGTCTCACAACTAAGCATTTCACCCAAAGATGATTTGAACATGCAAACCAAGCGGGAGCGGTTCAAATGGCAATGGCGAGTTCTGTCCTTTTTTAAAGACCTAAAATGTCCAAAGCGGTTGAAGCAAAGTGTCCTCTTTCTTTCCAAAATCTTCTATACAGTAACATCGGGCGCCAAAGATCGGCGGGGGGGGGGGGGGGGGGAGATGTGCTTCAGGCCAGTGGCTTAATATCAAAATTTCCTGCATTTGGTCTTGTTCTGGGCTAGTAAATCCACATAGAACACGTACACTGCGTTACATGACCCCCCCCCCCCCACGCCGCGATCCAAGACTGGAATCGTCTCCCATCTGCTCTGCTATGCAACCTTCCTACCCAGAAGGGAAGGCAGGCATTCAAGGAAGACGCCTACAAGTCTCTCCGCAGTCGAGACTGGCACTCAGCCACAGATGCCCTCTGAACCCTCCCTGGACACCCTCTCTGTTTGCACCCTGGCTCCCTCTTTTGCTCTATCACATGTATCATCTTTCCATTTTTCACCCTCTGTACAATGTACCCCCCCCCCTCTTCCCCGACCCCCTGCGTCTACTCCTCCCCAGTTTTTGGTGCACTGAAGTGTCACTGAAGCCGAGACCTCGGTTCGGCGGAGATGCTCCAGTTTCACCACCACAGTTGCGACTGCAGCCACCTCTATCATGCAGCATTCTGTTCTCGAGGTTCGTGGTTTCTCGTAAAAAAAAACTGTAATCTTTGCATCCAGCCTGGCACATTATCAAATTTTGGTGACTTTCCCGCTTGGGTGTTCTTCGGCACCCCAGTGTCACTGTGCCTGAACAGCAATAATTCATGCCACATCCTGAAGCTAGCACCCTCTCCAAATCGTCCCATTTGGGCACTCTTAGCAGGTTGCGGCAGTGGACAAAGGACGGAAAGTGTGTGTGTGTGTGTGTGTGTGTGTGTGTGTGTGTGTGTGTGTGTGTGTGTGTGTGTGTTGAGGTTGCGGTGCATGCGGTGGTTGAGGAGCGCTGGAGGACTGGCTGTGCATCGCTGTCCTGTGTCCACGGATGTCCCCACTGTATCCATTCGCCATGAATCTGACTCTTTGCGATGTGATGTTTGTCGCCGCTCTTTCCGCTCTCGTTCTGGTTTGAGCCGTCATCACTGTGACCGTGCGAAACGGATGTCACGTGCAGCCAGGAACAACTGCCGTCATGAATGCGAGCATTGCGAAAGACGGTTCTCAAGGCCACAGGACTTGCAACGCCATGCCAAATATTGTTGACTTTGCGATTTCTCTCTCTTCTCTTCTCTCTTCTTGTCGTTGTCTCCCGCTTCTGGGAGCGGCGTGGCCCGATAGGGTAGCTGTACATAGTAGTAGTAGTAGTAGTGTGTGTGTGTGTGTGTGTGTGTGTGTGTGTGTGTGTGTGTGTGTGTGTGTGCATAGGTCTTGGCCGTTTTATGCCGATGTACTCCGTGTGGTGTAGACCAGGTGTGCATTGGTGGTCGATTCACATGGCTTCGCCTGTCTCATTCAGATCTTGTTCGCTATCGTTGCTATAAGAGAAATCTGTGGGTGGACATCCAGTGCATTTGCAGATTTGCGTGCTTCTCTTGCGACGGGCGTATACATGGTACATGGTAGATGGTTTGTGTGTAGTACTAGTAGTAGTAGTCTGTGCGTGTATGTGTATGTGTGTGTGTGTGTGTGTGTGTGTGTGTGTGTGTGTGTGTGTGTGTGTGTGTGTGTGTGTGTGTGTGTGTGTGTGTGTATGTGTGTATGTGTGTATGTGTATATGCATGTGTGTGTGTCGTGTGCATATGTGCATGCGCACATGTGTATGTATGTCTATCTGTTCATATGTTATGTTGTTGTTGTTTTTTTATTTGAATTCGCAATACCAAACGGGCAATAAGCCCAATTACATGGAAGCGAATAAAAGAATGCTAAGAATGAGGCATTGGGGTGGATATTATTTCAAGTGGAAAATACTGATCATGGGAGGTACTACAAATAGGTACAATGAAAATCTAAAAAGGCCATGGTACTGTCGTTTACCATGCTGGAAGCAGCTACATGGAGAAGGAAAAACAACAAGAAAGACGGTTTATCTCATGTATTGGACAAACAGAGCTAACAGGAAAAGACCGTTCGTTTTATGCCTACACATACTGTCCGTGTGTGTGTGTGTGTGTGGGGGGGGGGGGGGTGCATGTCACTGTTTCTCTTCTTTAAAAAACGTTTATGGCCTGAGAGTGTACGGGTACACGGCTGCTGCGAAATCGGCCACGGCTTTGCAGGAACGTACACTGGCTGGCAGAGTGTTCTACAGCGCAGGTCCACGGAAGAACGGTCGGCGAGTGCCTGTATTCGTCCTGGCCAGCGGGAGAATGAGCCCGGCGTATGTTCATGCATGCGTCCATAGAATATATGGGAGAGCGCATACGCGCACACACACACACACATATATATATATATATAGGGGGAAGTGGTCCCGTCCACCGCAAAGAGGGCTCAACAGCGCTGGGGTGCACTGGAGCTAGTACACAATGGAAGCGGTCCTCACCAAGAAAACACAATCCGTTGCTACTCCGAGTTTCTTGAGTTTTTCAATCGTCAGGCAACTTTTCTAACTAAAGCAGGGCTGTCAGGTCCACTAAAGAAATACACAACCACACAGCAAGGCGCACAAAAGAGAAAGCGTGAAGTGTGAAGAGTGAAGAGTTACTGCTAGGTGCAGGCAGTGTAAAATATTGATATCAATTGTCCATTACTGTAACAAGCGCTGAATGGAGCACGTAAATATGGAGTTAACTAGCGCATGCCTGGCGTCAGGAGGTGTAAGGCCATTACGGTGCTATATTTGGCGTTAATCATAACAATAATGGTGCAGTGTGTCTGGTTCCATTGGGCATCAGGTTGTTCTGTCCATGTCCGGTTTTACGTGATTCCGTTATACTTAGCGAGCCGGTATTTGTTTGCATGACGACATTTGGCGATGATTTCACTTCGCTTGTTGAGGATTTTGGTCTTGTCAGCAGTGAGTATACGCACCTTCTCCGTGGTGCAAAGGCAACATCTCTTTGTTGCGGGGTTGTAGGAGCTGGCCTTGTCCTTGATTCTCCAGGACAGGTGATACTCTTTGTTGTCGTTTTTCTTTTTCCAGAGGTGTTTGGAGAGCTCCGTGTTAGTGCGGTAATTTTCGTGGCGGAAGGACATCGTGTGGTTGTATCTTGTTTTGAACGTTGTCTCTGCTGAGCCGATGTATGTCCTGAGCTCATCCTGGCTGGTGACGTGTGCTTCATAGACGACGTGAGAGGCCTGGCAACGTCCTTCCATGGGGCATTCCTGCTTTTTCCTACAATTACAAGGTTTTTCAGGAGGTTCTTGTATCAGTTGCCGCTTGTTGTGCCCACTGATAATCGCTGTGATGTTGGGCATACATGAATAGCTAACCTTCACGTTATGTCGGTTGAAGATCTTTTTCAGGGGGGTGTTTTTGAAATGCCGGTCGATCATTGTGAGGAAGGCAGCAGCGACGTTTGTTCTCACGTTACGGCTGAAAGGAGGGTTGAACCATGTTATATTTCTTTTTCGGTTTCGCTTTCTGTTTTTCTGTGCTGGTTGCCCCATGTACTCAATACCTTCCGCGTATCCACTGGCCAATAATGCGTTGTTGTACATAGGCGCAGCTTCGTTAAATGCTTCCTCACTTGATGAGTTGGTTGACACGCGTCGGCTTATTCCTGCTGGCAGTTGCTTTATTATGGACGGTGGGTGGTTTGAGTGAGCGTTGATGTACTGCGGTGTGTCGCCTGGCTTTCGGTGTGGCATGTATCCTCCGATTGACAGGTTGAACGTCACGTCGAGGAAATTTACAACTTTTAGGTTGGTGTCAATCGTTACCTTTAGTCCATGCCCTGCAAACACCGCCGTCAAACTCTTCCGTATGCGCTCTGCCGCGCTGCCGGTGGTGTTTCTCAGCACAGCCAAGCCGTCGTCCCTGTACAGGCCGATCTGCGCTCTGCCGACGTGGGCTGTTAGTTCTTGGAGCATATATACGCCAACCAGCTCACACACTTCCGCGCCATCGAACGAGCCCATGGTGACATCGAACGTGCTGGCGTTGTTCTTCTTCACCCAAGGTTGGCCGTCTTTGAACAACACTGATTTTCGTGCGTGCATGACAATCTCCCTTTCCCCGTCCTCGATGTTAGTGTACGTGGACGCAAAATCCAGGGCCTTCGCGAGGAGTGCCTCTGTGATGGAGGGATAATACTCTACAACGTCAAAGCATATGAATGTGTGCTGTTGCTTGTCCTGGATGTTTTCGTACCACTCGATGACTGATGCCGTGCTCCTCCAAAGGTTGACGTCCGTTGCCGACCTGACGGCTCTCACAATTCTGTCCAGTATGGATTTACTCACGACTCCAAGTTCAGACTTTGCGGGGTTGATAAGCCTGCACGGGAGGTTGTTGGCGAAGCGATCCTTGTGGTCCTTCAAACTCACAAATGCCTCTGACTTTGCCATCGCGTCGACCCGGTCACTGATATTCAGGCGCTCCGCCAACTGCTGTGCTTCTTGATTAATATCACAGCGATTATCAGTGGGCACAACAAGCGGCAACTGATACAAGAACCTCCTGAAAAACCTTGTAATTGTAGGAAAAAGCAGGAATGC